CGCCCTCCGGCCGCGTCCCCGCCGGCCCTGCCGACGTGGCGGGGCGGAACCCGCCGGGCGCTCCCGCGCGCACTCGGCAGCCGGAGTGGTAAGAGCCCCGGGCACCTTCTCCCCATCCCCTTCTCGGGGCGGGCGGGGGAGTGCGGGCACCGCCGTGGCGGGGTGGTGGGGAGACCCTGCCGTCGCTCCTTGCCCTGGCCCCCGAATCCTGCCCGCTGCGTTAGTGGGAAGCTATCGGCAGGGACTTGGCACCGGGCGCGGGACCCGGGAGGACCGGACTTTGGGGTGAAGGTCCGGGGAGGCGCGGGCGGCGCGGCCGAGGGCCCTGCGTGGGTGCGGGCGTGTGAGTGTGTGTGTGTGAGTGTGTGTCGCTCCGGGTCCACGCTCATGCACACACCCACACGCCTGCACTCGGGGTCTGCTCCCTCGGCCGGCGTGAACCTCCGCGGAGCCTGCCTTGTGCTCTCCAAGTATCTGGTCCCGGCACCCAAGCAAGGCTGAGAAAGTTTCCTCAGGGTTCCAGGTCCGAGTCAGAGGCAGGCTGCAGGGCCCCCCGCCGCCGGGGTGGGGGGCGCATAGAGGGAGTGGGTCCCCATAAGGCAAAGGCCTCCATCCCGGGGTTTGCCAGCCGTTGGCCTCGGAAAACCGAGCTCTGGCCTTGGAAAACCGAGGAGCTCTGGCCTTGACCTCCCGCTGAACTTCATCATCTCTCCGCCTGCAACCTCGCTTGCTCTTCCGCCACAGCCAACACCCTAAGCCAGTACCACCTGGCTTCACAGCCCCCGGGCTGAGCCTACCCCCAGCTCCCCAGGCCCCGCTCACCCACTGTCTCCTTTTCTGCGCCTGGAACCTGGTGAGTATTTCCAGCCATCTCCCATCAGGCGCCTGAACTTCACTGTCCTTTCCTGGAGTAGGAAGACATCTCGGTCTGGGCTAAGGGCTGTAGATCTGTGCCCTGTTCATCCCATCAGTTCCCATCCTGAACGTTAGGGGTACGAGCAGGTGGCTTCTAAAATCAGTGTCTCTTGAACCCCACCCCGAGGTAACCCAGGAGACAGCCTCTCTCCCCAGAGGCCTCTTTCCGCCCTCTTTTCCTCCTAGTGCCCCTTTCCAGCCTCACCCATATTCACTCCCTGCTCCCTCCTTCCTTTCCTCCATCAGAGCCTGAGCTCGGGAAGGACTCTGATAACTCCTTACATTGTAAGCTTTAAGCAAAGGAATGAAACTTCCAGGGTGGTATTTGAAACACGAGGGAGCCAGTGCAGAAGGAATTTGAGGGCGAGAGGGAGCCTTCTAGAATACCAAGGATTCAGCCCATATAAGTAGCCATTTATTTATAAGTCTGGCTTATGTCAAATATTCTCTCTCTTGAATCAATATCAAACAATATATTTCAGTTCTGCAAACATCTGAGGGTCAGAACCCAAGCTAAGTGCTTGTTGGTCACAGTCCTGGAGAAGGAGGAAATGACACAGAGACAGATACTCCTTAGGAAGTCAGTGCAAAGTGTCACACACACACACACACACACACAGCATGGAAGGAGAAGCAATTCTGGGAAAAGAGTGGGGGAAATTAAGGAAAATTTTAGAGTAAAAAGCGACACTAGACATAGGAGTTTGCCAGGCTGTTGAAGGCAGGGCAGCCCAGGCAGAGGAACCAGACAGGCAAAGGCACGGTGGGAGTGCTTACAAGCTGTGGGCACTAATGGAAAGTCTGGTGAGGCAAGAGCGTAAGGTGTCCAAAGAGTTGCAAAAGGTGGATAAAGAGATCGGAGCTGAACCATGAGGGGCCACAGATGTCATGCAAAGGTGTTTAAACCTAATGGTTTTTATTTATTTATGTTTAAGGTTTTATTTATTTATTTGTCAGAAAGAGAGAGAGCACAAGCAGGGGGAGCGGCAGACAGAGGGAGAAGCAGACTCCCAGCTGAGCAAAGAGCCCAATGCGGGACTCGATCTCAGGACCCCGGGATGGTAGCCTGAGCCGAAGGCAGATGCTTAACCAACTGAGCCACCCAGGTGTCCCAAACCTAATGGTTTTTAAACAGGGGAGCAAATAGGTCCCATCTGTGTTTCAGAAAAATACATAGGAGACTGGTGGAGGCTAGACCCGAGGAAACAGCCTGGGACTTCGTAAGGGGGGACCTCTTAGGAGCTGATTAACCTCTCATCCAGAGTTTTTGTTCCTGGTCCTCATTGACCAGTCCTTTTTAAAATTGGGGGCAGTGATTTTACATAGGGTATCGTGTTAGCAAATTCATATTTTGCCAAATGAGACCATTTAAAAAAATCTATCCACTGCACTATTTCATAAAATGAAAGATTTTAATACCAAGAAAAGCATGAAGGCTAAACTTGCAAGATGAAGGCAGTCCTTTAATAAATGTAGATTGATGAAAAACTTGTGATCTTGTCCTCATTTTTCTCTAACATCATGGACTGGTCCCAGTCCTGCAGTCTTTGGGGTTTGGGAACCAGGTATCCAGATCATTTTGTCCCGTCTTACTCTGCAGAGGAGGAAGTGAGGAAGCCCAACAGGACTGAGTTGTGCGCCCACAAAGAGATGGTGCGACCAGAGCATGCTCTTCCTACCTCAGAGTACCCCTCCCCCCCAGCCACCTGCTCTGCTCTTCTTCCATACTGCCTCCTGGCCAGGCCACACATTCATCCCGATTATCTAGACTTCATTCCTGAAGCCGGGCATTTGCACATACTCTTATCCCACCATGCCTGAGTATTCCTATCAAAGCCACTTTTAAGGTTCTTTGCACTAGGTCAGTCTCATTCCAGCACATCTTTCCCTTATTTGGTGTGCTGTTTTGTATCCTCATTTAACCATTGCATGTTAGCTTGAAATAGTTTCCTGGACCTTCATTGACCAGGGATAACATGAAAACAGATTAGTCATTTTCTGAAGGGTAGTAGCCATGTCTTCCGTTTTCAGCTTATTTTTGGAGCCCATGATGTTGCTGCTCCAATACCTAGCATAGTTCTGGGAGCATTTTAGGTGATGAATGAATTTACTCATGAAAAACTAACTTATTCCCAGCCCACAAAGGCTCCTTTATATGCTACTCTTCCTCCTTGAAGTTTTCTAAAGAAGCCTCCTTGTTTCTGTGGGTTGAGTTTCGCTAGCATCAAAGCCACAAGACATGGCTGCAGTGATGAGTGTTCCAGACCCTAAATCGGGAGAGATTTGTGTCTGACTGCTTCTGGGGCACCCAGGCCGAGATGGGGACTGTCCCAGGAAACAGCGTGTGTCTCAGCTGTAGTCTGGGTGGACTCCGATGGTCACTGTGCCCAAACGACCGTGTCTTTAGGACACAACAGCTTCTAATGGCCTCAGATACAAGGGCACAGTCTTCAAACTGATTACATCTCTCCTGTCATAACACCCAGAGGAGATGAAGGTCCACCAGAGCAAACGAAGAAGATTTGGGGGTTTGGTTGTGGTTTAGAGAAAATGGAGACCTGTAACAGGTCGAAGTAAATAGAGATTAAAGATACATGCAGTTAGCAGTTAAAGTAGGGCTGAATATTATGGTGACCATTTTTATTATCCAAACTGAGGTAAAAATACAGTCCCTGAAATGTATAAGTTGCCCGTAAATATTTTTAACAGTATGGGTTCAACACCTTAAAGCTGATCTGGGGTATTTCTAAAGGGATGGCTTCCTGTTGCTGGTTGAATGCAGAGCAGTTGCAGGGAAAGAAGGTTTTTGTCACAGCCAGATTTTCTACAATTGAGGCAAATGGACCTAAGGCAATTGGGCCCTCAGCTTGTTCTTAGAAGCTTGATGGAGTCCATGCTCTCTGTCCTTTTAGGGCCTCTGGCGAGGACTGCTCTAGAGGCAGGACTCAGCTAACCCAGTCAGGCTTTGGGGTGCTCCCACAATCAAAGCATAACTAGAAAATCTCTATCTCAAAGAGCGCTAAGCTGCTGAACTCAATATGATCTTATGGCCTGGGAATCGAAGGGCAGATTGCCCCTGTACATGATTACTTACCAATCCACATATCTTAAGCATTTCCCATTTCACCAGTGAGAAGTGGTTTCTAATTTCCCTTGTGCATTAGCACAAACTAAACTAAACTAAACTAAAGAGGGTGGTAGTGAAACACTCTCTAGAGGGGGACACCCGATTACAGATTTTGAATGCTAACTCAAGTCCTCTGGAGAGTGTGTTCCTGAATAGGGCATCTCAGGTGTTAACCATCTACCCCTAGGCTGTAAATTACACCTAAGTTCCATGTATATCACACAATAGATGCTGAAGTATTTCAGAGCACATTATGAACAGCATGGCGACACATGTAGGACAAAGCATAATCAACAAAGTGTCCAAGATGCTTTTTATTTGCCCGTGAATGTTTATTATAGCCAGGTTTCTTCTCACATCCCTGCTTATAGAAAAGTGAAATCGTTTGGAGTGCCTTAGTCATTCAGATTAATAATAAGGATTTTCAAATTACTTTACAAAGAAATGAAAATATCAGACAGTGCCTATGACCAGCTATTGATGAATACAAAGTGGGAACAAAAGTGATGCCGAAGCATCATTTATTCATGGACCCATTCTCCTTATACCCCTAGGACCCAGGCGAGGATAGGATAAAATAGAAAAATGTTTGGGTCATGGCATCCAAGCAATGTTCTAGACCATGGGTCGGCAAACGTTTTTGTCAAGGGCCAGATAGTAAATGTTTTAAGCTTTGCGACTTTGTGGGCCATAACGTCTTTTTTTTTCTTTAAGATTTTATTTATTTGTCAGAGAGAGAGCAAGAGCGCGAGCATAAGCGGGGGGAGCGGCAGAGGGAGAGGGAGAAGCAGAGTCCCTGCTGAGCAAGGAGCCTGATGTGGGGCTCTACCCCAGAACCTGGGGTTGCTGACCTGAGCCAAAGGCAGACGCTTAGCCGACTGAGCCACCCAGGCGTCCTGGCCATAAGTTCTTTTCAGCTACTCAACAAAGCTGCTGCAGGACTAGAGAAGCTGTAGACAGTACAGCAACAAATGAATATGTCTGTGTCCCAGTAAAATCTTACTTCCCGTAACAGGCGGAGGGCAAGGTCTGGCCAGCATGCTGCAGTTTGCCAATAGCCCAGTCCTGCCTCAGGGATTTTCAAGAAGATTTTATAAGCTTCCAAAAGGACAGCAGCTTCTCAAGTACCCTCGCTCAAATTCTGCCTTCCTCCCATAAGCCACGGCAACTACCTTTCCTGTACAGTGGCCTTGTTTTCTTCTTTATCATTTCAACTAGGCATTGACCATCCTCCCACCTTCACTCTCCTCAACTTTATATGCCAGCTAAAGGGACGTATGCATTTTTTTGCCTTTCCCACCCATAGACTTGTTTACAGGAGTGTTATTACTGAATTCAGGATTTTTTGTTTGAAAGGAAACATTCTAACTTAGTTCATTGGGAGGTGAAGGAAAAAGGGAAGACAATATGGATCATTTGGAACCATTTGCTCTAAGGTAGCTCTTGAGTAGTAAATGGGGTAAAGGCATTTTCTGCTTGCTTTCATTTCAAATTACATTTTTAAAAATTTTAACTCCAATATAGTTAACATACAGTGTTATATTAGTTTCAGGTGTACAATATAGTGATTCAGCAATTCCATACATCACCTGGTGATCATCACAAGTGCACTCCTTAATTCCCATCACCTGTTTCCCCCATCTTCCCACCCACCTCCCCTTTGGTGTCCATCAGTTTGTTCTCTGTAGTCAAGAGTCTATTTCTTCGTTTGTCTCTCTCTTTTTTTTTTTCTTTGTTTTGTTTCCTAAATTCTACATGTGAGTGAAATCATATGGTATTGTCTTTATCTGACTGATTCATTTCGCTTAGCATTGTACTCTAGCTCCATCCATGTCATTGCAAATGACAAGATTTCATTCTTTTTTCTGGCTGAATTTATATATATATATATATATATATATATCTCACATCTTTTTCCATTCATCTACTGAGGGACACTTGGGCTGCTTCCATCGTTGGGCTATTGTAAATAATGCTGCTATAAACATAGAGGTACACCTACAATCCAGTAATCATACTACTGGGTATTTACCCAAGAAATACAAAAACACTAATCCAAATTACATTTTAATTTTAAGTCTCCAAAAATAGTAATATAACAACACACATATTCATTGAGCTTCCCACTATATTCAAGAAACCACGTTAAGTGCTACATAAAATGTGAAAACAAGACAAGGAAGACCCTTGTCTTCATAGTATTTACAATGTGCTGGAATAGCAAAATGCTCAAGTAACCCTAACAAAGGTGAGATGGCCTCATCTCAGTAGTAAGTGGGAAGGCCCTGAGGATGTAGGAACAGGATGGGGAGGGATGGGGAAGTGAAAGGAAGAGCAACAGGGGAGGGCTGAACCCAATGTTGAAACCATCAATGTGAACCATAATGAGAACCTGAGCTAGCTGGGTGGCCATGAGGTGAAAGGTAAAAGACAAGACATGAATTCTGAATCAAGAGCCTCTAGGATTTGGGCACTGAGTGAATGTGAGAGAAGAGGCTGCAGATACATTTCTGATATGGTTCAATTTCAAAGTTAGATGTGGGTTCAAATCTCAAATCTGCCACTTACTGAAAGTGTGACTTCTGAGCCTTAGTTGTCTCATCTGTAAAATGGAGATCATAATATCTAACTCACAAGAGACAATGCATGTAAGGAGTCTGCACTTAATAGGCACTCAATAAATGATAACTATCGATGTTATATATTCTTGAGAGAGTGAAGGTTTAGTTAATGACAGCCCTGAGGTTTTAAGCCTGGGTTATTGGGGAAATCTAGGCACCATTAAAGGAAACACAAAAGTCAAGAGGAAGAATGAGTATTAACAGTAAGAAAACAGGTTTCTATTTGGATGGGAAGAGATGTCCAGCTGGCCATTGGAATTACTTATCCAGAAATAGAATTTTTTTTAATGACAGCATTATTAACATGTAACCCTGTAGATTATATGTATCATATCTACTCTTAATATATTGAGATATAATTCGCATACGACAGAATTCACTCTTTGAAAGTGTACAGTTCAGTGGTCTTCAGAATATTCACTTAGTTGTACAGCATTGCTGCTATCTAATTTTAGAACATTTTCATCACATACCAAAGAAATCCATACCCATTAGCAGTCCCTCCTCATTCCCCTTCCCTTCAGTTCCTGGAAACCACTAATTCACATTCCATCTCAATGGAATGAGGTAGATATTTGAAACTCACAACATTGAGAGTGGTGTGTGAAACCCTGAGAAAGGAATGTGATTCACCAAGGGAGACAGTGTAGCACGAGCAAGGACAATAGCCAAACAACCTTAGGGACAGCTGTGTGAGGGACCAGAGTTACATGTGCATGTGATTCTAAGCCTGTACTCCATGTAACCAGTATGTTAAGTGGCTTCTTACATACCGTGGCTTTAGCAGCAACTTGGGGTTTGACCAATTGGTAAACACTGAGGTCAACAAAAATACCCACTGATTTGACTGAGACTTGGCTTCTGGTGTAGTGAGAACACTGTGTTTTCATGTTAGCTTAAGAAAATTATCATCTCGAACTAGCCTTGTAGATCTGTGCTATCCAGTAAGGTAGCCACTAGCAATGTATGCCTATGTAAAATGTAAACATAAATCATTTAAAATTAAATAAAATTTAAAATGTAGTTGCTGGGGGCCTGGGTGGCTCAGTTGGTTAAGCATCTGACCCTTGATTTCAGCTCAGGTCTTTGTCCCAAGGTCATGAGTTCAAGCCCCGCATTGGGCTCCATGCTGGGTGTGTAATCTACTTAAAAAAAAGGGTGTGGGGGGGTGGACCTGGTGGCTCAGTCAGTTAAGCATCCGACTCTTGATTTTGGCTCAGGTCATGATCTCAGGGTCAGGGTATCAAGTCCCACATTGGGCTCCACTCTCAGCAGGGAGTCTGTTTGAGATTCTCTCCCTCTCTCTCTGCCTTTACCCCACCCCTCTCAAATAAATAAATCTTTAAAAAAAAAAAATGTAGTTGCTCAGTTGCACTAGCCACACTTCATATGCTCAATAGGTACATGTGGCTGTTAACTACAACATCGGAGAGTGTGGACATAGAACATTTTCATCATTGCAAAAACTTCTCTTGAATGGTGCTGTCCTATATGATACAATAACTTGCAAGCTTCGTAGAGAGTTTTCGTCTTTGTAGGTAATTTCGTAATGGTGACATGCCTCATTTGACTTAATACTGCACTTCTTTCCCTTCCAACTCCTCCTGTGTTTCCCTGTGTAAACTGTTGCCCAGCAGAGCCCAGGCCTTCACCAGCTGGTGTCCAATAAAGCACACTTATGTGTATGTATGTCTCTTTCTCAATGTGACTCCCTGATGTTGTTGCAAAGCTGAATGTCAAGTAGTTTTCGATAAGCTCTCAGGTATTTTCTATGCTTATTCTCATTATTGCTACAATTATAATTAATAAAGTGATATTAAATAATTTCACAGATAGAGATAATACTCTTAGTTCCCATATACATATCCCCATATACCACGTAAGAGATCCATGAAAGTTTAGAGATAGGGTTGTATTAGTTTTCTATGCTGCTATAACAAATTACAACAAACTTAGTGGCTTATAACAACACAAATTTATTCTCTTACAGTTCTGGGGGTCAGACATCCAAAACCAGTTTCACTGAGCTAAAGTCAAGGTATTGGTAGGTCTGGTTCCTTCCGGCACCTCTGAGGGGAGAATGGTTTCCTTGACTTTTGCAGCTTCTAGTGGCCACCCATAATCCCTGGCTTGTGGCCCCTCTTTGATCTTCATCACCCAAGCTCTGCTCCTGTCCTCTCATCACCTTCTCCTCTCTGTAGTCAAATCTCCTTCTGCCTTTCCCTAAGGACACTTATGATTTCATTTAGGACCCACCCAGATAACCCAGGATAATTTCCCCATCCCAAGATCCTTAATTCAACCATATGTGCAATCCGTTTTGCTGTATAAGGGTAACGCTCACAGATTCCAAGGATTAGGATATGGATATATTTGGGGGCCATATTTCAGCCTACCCCAAGGTTACATAAAGTTTCTTATTGGTAGAAGAAAGTCTTCCCCCTACCAGATTTGATTTTGGGGGTTTTGGATTAAGGTTTAACAATTCAGATTAAAGCAGAAAGTGTTTGTAATCATGTTGACAGATATTAAAATGTCTGACGATGCTGGTGACACCTCAGCCATTAGAGACAAAGCAGAAATTGCCAAGATGCCCGAGAGTGAGTTTTCACCCAAAGACACAGAAGCGCGCTGTGATTCAGCTATGATTTCAAATGAGCCAACAGCAGCTGACGCCAGAGGAGATGGGCATGAAAATGCCACCGTCCAGGGTGCAGAGACTACTGACACTGGGCATCTTGAGCAGCGCCAACACACCAGCACCACGGAGCCCCACCTCAATGGAGAAGTGACTGAGGATGCACTTGCTGAATGCATCGACTCCGTCAGCCTCGAGGCAGAACTTGGATCTGAAATACCCCTGAAAGAACAGACTAATCCGGTAGGTGTGGTTCATTCGACTCAGTTCAACCTAAGTTCTTACTGATACCTGTCATGGGCACAGATCGGGGTATTTTCGATGCTTACGGGGATCGGGGGGATTCGGAATATACTGTGACATCACCTCTGTCTTCAAAAGGGGGTTGTGTGGTGAGAAAAGGCATATATGCGAATAATTGGTCATTATAATATTTGCATTTTGATAATTGTGGCAATAATAGTAACAGCCACCAAGACTGGCTACATCCTGTATGCCAGGCACCCCGCTAGCCCCTTTATAGGTTATGTAATTTGCTTCATCCAATGGTTCGTTGAGGTTCTAGGCTGGATATTATTAACCTTAATCTGTAGACGAGGCAATCCGGCTCAGAGATAGTAAGCAGCCTAGTGAGATATTAAGCTACTTGGTAATAAAGAGAAGATATTGAAATATTGAACATCATGAGTCCAAGTTATTAATGAGCCTGATTCTACCCTAAACAAGTCAGTGTTTTTTTTTAATATCACTTAACTTTTAACACATAGTTACAAATCCACTGTGGGGATGGATCTTAAACCTTCAGATCACTGTTTTATCATCACACACCACCTTCCAGAGGACCAGAGGCAGAGCATGCTCATGGCCTGTTCCCTTTGGTGCCTGCACCTGACTTTCTGGGGGATAAGATAGACCAGTGTCTCCCAATTGGTTCCTTGTACAACATCAGTATGATCGTGGAGGTGGGTTTTCTTGGCAACTTCACCTTCAACCACATGGGGGCTGGTGGGGATGGAGAAGCATTCAGCATGAAAGAAGGAAGCAGGCCAATCCTGCCTTCCAGAGGAATGGTACAAGATGGGGAATCAGGGTTTTCCCTCAGTCAGGCCCCAGCCCTGCTCCTCTGACGTGTCCCACCACCGGTTACCTCCGTGAAGAGACTCTACTGCATGCGATCAATGAAGGGAGGAGACTACACAGGGTACCAGGGGGCCTGGCTTCCCCCCTCGGAACTAACATTACCACTCTCAATTTGGGCGAGACACCTAATTTCTCCGTGCCTCAGTTTTTCCCTCTATAAAATGAAGACTTTTGCACATGAATAGGACTAGGTATTCTTCTGACTAATGTCTTGTGATTCTTTTATTCAAAGTCAGGTTCCTTGTGCCTCAGTTTCCTCAAGGGGTTTGACTTGTAGAACCATTCCGAGAGGAGACGGACTTCCTCAGTGTTTCCCATGAACGGAGATGTTTAAACAAAAGCAAACAGTGGTTTGGCAGGGATGTCGGGGAGAGGATCTGAGGACCAGCTGAGAGTTTGAATGAGATCTGGTAAACACACAGACACAATTTCGTCTGTGAGTTCCAAGGGTTCACAGACTCTTCAAAGCCATCCACGGACCCCCTAAGGGATTAAGCACTCCTAGACCGGAGGTTCTCAACTCTAGCTGAACATTTCCACCACTGGGAAAGCTTTAGAAAATGCTAATGCTGTAGTAGTCGGTTCTCCAGAGAAACAGAGCCAATAGGATATCTATTTAAAAATCCTATAGCTAAAAATAAACAAAGAAAAAAGAAAATAAATAAATAAAAATCCTATAGCTATATCTACCCATATACCTGACTTTGGAAACTTTTTCCTGCACGCTTTCTATTGTGGGAAGCACTGGTTCTCAATTCTTACCGTAAGTGCTGCTATTAATAAACATCTTTGTAGAGTAAGAAAACCACATCTTGGCCGCAACATTGTGACCTGAGATGACCTAAAGAAACGTCACAGGCTCTACTAATTCAAAATATATAGGCTCCTGATGGATAGATTATACATTCCAATTCCAGACTTCTAATAATGAAAACGAGATAGCTAATTTTAAAGATAGCACAATAAAAAGTCAGTGTGTGCCTACATATCTGCCTTCTTCATTTTTTGAGCAAACTGAATGAGTCCTGCCTTTGAAAGCTCTTTATAAACCTTGATGCTACAGGGTTAAAGCCCAATTAAGCAGACAGATACTGCCCTCCTCTTCCTGCATGACCCCGATAGTTTTCAAGGACTTGGAAAAGAGTATTTCTTCATCATGAAGCATCCCAAAAGTATCTGGATGGAAGTGCAAATATTGGCCACAGGGTTGGGACTGTGGCTCTGGGTGCATGTGTGTAGTATTGCACCAGGAGCTCAGATGAAACCAAGATGTGGGAGGAATGCCCGTCAGTATGTTTGTTCTAAGAAGGCAGAAAGCCGATATGGCTGGTGGAAGGGCCTTGAGGGAAGAGGATACCTCTTCCACCCAGGTCATATTTAAACACTTCTAAGTAGGTACAAATTTAGTCTCTTTTTAGGGATTACCCAGAGAAGGGGGTTCTACTATCTCTCTTGGTAACTTATCCTTTTAAGTCTATACAAGAAGTCAATGTTGCGCCTTGTCTTCAAGCATTGTTCATTTGCTCTATTTTTTATTGTCTTGTTGGATACTTATGAAAAATCCTTTTGCAACGATGAAAACAACTATTTTTCTCTTGATCTAGAAGAGAATTAATTCTAAAGAAAACCTTGAATCGAAAGTTCATTTGTAAGTTGACTGTATGGATCTTGAACACAGGTCCCCTGAGGAATGGCAGGTCCAATAGGAAAACAGACAAGCTCAAAAGCCTACTTGATCCCAGGTATATCTGAGCCTAAAAGAATCTCATTATCCCTTTAAACAAGCTTCTGTGGGAAAATGTCTGCATGTGATCAATGAAGGGAGGAGACTACACAGGGAAGCAGGGGGCCTGACTTCCCCCCTCGGACCTAAAATGAAGACTTGTGTACATGAATAGCACTAGGTATTCTTCTGACTAATGTCTTGTGATTCTTTTACTCAAAGTCATGTTCCTTGTGCCTCAGTTTCCTCAAGGGGTTTGACTTGTAGAACCGTTCCAAGAAGAGACGGACTTCCTCAGAGAGGAGGGTGTTTCCCGTGAACGGAGATGTTTAAACAAAAGCAAACAGTGGTTTTGCAGGGATGTAAAACGAAACAAAACAAAACAAAACAAAACAAAAAAACAAAAACAGCAACAACAAAAACAAAAAGCTGGCAGAATAGCCTTTGAGAAAGCTTAAACCAGTATCTTCTAGGACACACTAGATTTTGTGACAATGTGCTTAGATGTGTGCATATTTTTTTCTTTAAGTGACTTGTATCTGCATAGTCTCTTTGGGTCTGGGTCCCCTCAAAACCCACCTTATTAGCTTTGCTTTTGCCTGAGTCAGCCCAGTGGCTGTAACCTGGCAGGTAGGGCTGTGACTAGGAGGGCCCCAGAGAAGAGGAGGAGGCCAGTGGTTCTGCCAACTGCCTGGCTGGCACCTCTGCTTTGAAGGATCACACCACTCACAGTTTATGCACTCAAAGAAGCGATCTCTGTCCTTGGTGTTCCTTCTTTTTCTCGTCCATTATGATGTACAGACTAGAAGCCACTGAGTTGAGACTTCCTGCAGGATCTACTCTACAACATCCATGAGAGATGGCCCCCAAACTCATTTGAACATTGGAGGTTAGACTCTCGAAGGCCTCTACCAGCCCCATGACACCGTGTGTTGTGCCCAGGAATCTGAGTGGCACAACTATCTTCAGGATGCCTACGGTCTCGTTGGAGAAGGGAGTGTTGTATACAAGTAATGACGGCATATCCTATAGCACTAGATAGGACAGACACAGGGGAAGCCTTAGATGGGGCACTTAAATTAATCTTCAGGAATCAGAGACAACCTCAGCCTCAATTTAGAGATGTTTGTCTGGAGTGCTAGTCAGGAGTGACACTTATTTCCAGAGATTTTTTCTGGGAACTTATAAACTGGCCTGTCAGCCCCTACAAGATCTGATGTAAATCAAATTTCCCTAAGTTCTTAACACCAAGAAATGTTACCCAGAGTGGAAAAAAAGTCATCTCTACTGTTTAACACCAGTACATAAGGTCAATTATGAAAGTAAAGAATGCCAATGTTATCACTAAAGGTACTCACAGAGGAAAACATAGACTACCACCGGTTAGTTCTCTCCTTAGAAAAGGAAAAACAGAATGTATAAGGCCACAAAATTGCTGTCAGGGGAGACGAAGGAGAGCGAACATAGACCAAGACACACAGATGGCAGATTTTTGCCTCTTCAATGAATTAGTTAAGTTTGCTTCTGTTCTTTTTGAGTATTTCCCCCTTTAAGCCTACTCTCCGTGATGGCACTCAATGTTTGGCTTTGGTGGATGCTGGGGCAGTTTGGCCATATAAGGCAATACTTCCTAAATCTGGTGGTATAGTGGAATAACCTAGGGAGATTGTTAAAAATTCAGAATCCTAGGCTCTACACTGAGATTCTTATTCAAAAGACCACAGTGGGAGCTAAGACTCTGTGTTTTTAATAAGTTCCCCTTAGGTGAGACTCTTGCGGTCAGTCTATGGACCAGTGTTTGGAAACTACTAAGACTAGGACACAGAAAGAGCTAGCTGGGGCATCGGGTGAGATTGAGAAGATGGTGAGTTCAGTATTGAACATGCCATGGGATATCCAAGGGAAGATATTTTGTGGGTAGTTGGTTATAATAGCCTGGAGCCCAGAAGAGAGATTTGGAAACCATTAATACTTGAATGTTATTTAAGAAATGGGAGTGGGTGAGATTGCCCCCAGTGTTATATGTAAATAAAGAAGCACAGAGGCCAAGGCCTTGGCCCTGCAAGGTTCCTGTCCCTAAGCCAATTTGGCTCTTAGGTTCTTTTTGATAGGTTGTGGTAGCCAGAAGTTGAGATGGTGAGGGTTACCTCTTTTCTTCATGATCTTATCACATTCTATAAGGGAAATCAAATCACAAATTACATTGTACCACACTGACATTTTAGGGTTTTTTAAATTTTTTATTTATTTATTTGAGAGAGAGAGAATGAGAGACAGAGAGCATGAGAGGGAAGAGGGTCAGAGGGAGAAGCAG